ATTTTCTAAATTTGAAGGATTCTTGCCTTCATATAAAAGTACTGTATCATCTGCATACATGGTATATTTACTCGCTAGACCAATTTCACTGATATTTTGAACATAAAGTAAATATAGTATATGTCCTAAAACAGAGCCTTGTGGGACACCCTTATTGAATAATAGTTTATTTGACGCAGAGTTGGTTGATTTTGTATTGATAGTCCTATTTTCAAGATATGAATTCAAAATATTTCTCACAGTGCGTTGCATGAACAGAACATTGCATGTTCCAATTCGTGTGGGAAACTTTCTTTTATGAAAGGGTCATTGACCAATTTTGATATTGGTGTAGCTTAAATGTGTCTCAATTCAAATATGTCTTTAGTAATCAAACCTTCTGGATCAGGGCATGTCTTTTTTGAATCATGAATTCAGAACCAAACCGATTTTTTAACGCCTCCACACGTGTTTCCTATGTCAGCATCTTCAGGAGAGCTTATATACTAGGTATATGTTCACCCAACTGTGAAAAATACTAACCGACAGGTTAATGTTTGTCATGGTTGAGTTCACATGTTAATCTTAATTTTTATTTTACTAAACTATATAGAGGGCTATGGAATAGGCATTATCCTTATTCATTTCTCTATTACTATTCTTAAATATCTCTAAGCTTTCATATGCGTCTAGTTTTCTAATGTTATTAACTTGCTTAACTAATTTGAGGTTAGTACATTAACTTGACGGTTAGTATTTTTCACAGTTGGGTGAACATATACCTAGTATACAGTGTCATTCATAAAGTCGGCATCATATGGGAAAAACTTTTATTAATGTCTTATTTTGGAATTCGAGTTGGACGTTGAGTTTTGCTTCAAAAACGATTAAAAATGGCCTACTCAATCGGGGTCACGTGACTTTCGCAACATGTCAAAAGTGACATTTTTTCAAATTGATCGCTGAAAGTAGGCTTATTTGTTCGAATATCGAAAAAGTTTACTTGAAAAAGTTGTTTCTATTTCAATTTTACACATGCTTCTCGAATTCGATCCTTCTATTGCAACTTTTAGATTTTCATTTTTTTTTAATTTTTCAAAATTTCTGTAATAGGTATTTGAAGAATTGTAATTTCACGAAACTACTTCATACCAGTAGCTTTTTCATGCTTCTTACCTTCAATTACTTATTATCACTGATTATGGACAGAAATATGATTTTCTTCAGAAAATAATAATGCTCGCTTCCAATTTCTGTTATGTTTGATGCAAAGTTGATATATCGTCAAGCATTTAGAAACGAAATCCATTTAAACTGATCTTTTCAGTACTGAAAAAATAAACTCAAATGAATTTCGTTTCTAAATGCTTGACTCAAACATAACAGCATTTTGATGTTATGTTTGCATTAGGGATTGCAAATTTACCGAATTTTAATTTACCGGTAATTCGGTAAATTATTTTAAAAATTACCGATTTACCGGTATTTACCGGTTTTTTCCGACATAAAAAAATAACACAGAAATAAGTCACAAAATAAATAACCAAACTTCAATTCTTATTAAATAATAACAACAGAAAAGTAAAACTCTAGGTAAACGTAAAAAAAAACTAATATACCTAACTTTAAAACTAATAACAGGCTCTAAAACATTCGAAATAGCAATTTCAATAAAAAAATATCTATCGTTTCTTACTTCTCCAACGACTGTTTCGATTTTTTTTGTTTAATAAAAAAGGCCCTGAGAAAACACAGCTTATCAATACTATTATCACTTAGCCGCGACCTAATCTTAGTACAAATTGTTCCTGCCGCAGAAAAGGCTCTTTCGGACTCCACACTAGTAGGCCGAGTTGTCATGAGTGCTGCGAAAGCCATTTTTAGGTATTTCCCCTGAATTCCTTCCTTCCGAAAATATTGCATTTCTGTTTTCACACATTGATGAACACTGTTAGGCTTCTGCTGTCTTCTAATTGAAAGAGTACTGTTTATATCAATTTTTTTTCTTATCGCTAGTTGAAGTTTCTCTTTAATCGACAATGCAGCATTAACCGATTTTGATGTTGATGGGCCCAAAACCCGACTGAGGGGGATGTTATCCTCATCAGAATCAGAGGAATCATCGAGGTCAATGCTATTTGTGTTTTCTGATGACTCTTCTAGGTTTTGTTTTGAAATCCGCCCAATTACTTCCACTATTGCATTTCTTATTGAAGATTCGCTGGTTTTATTGAATACTCCATAATCTTCACCCCTGGATTCCTCAGGAAACGGATTATGCAGGTACTGAAGAACATCAGAATAAATGGTCCGTCTCTCTTTTATACGATCTAACAATGCTTCTTTCAGTTCAATACTTAAAACTGTGTTTTGACTTGTAAGCTCATCAATCATGAATTTTAAGGTAATATCAGCTATAAAAAGATTTGCATCTTCGCAACATAATTGCTCTACTGCAGCTTTTACCGGTTGCAATGCTGAAATTGTACTAGATAGTAACTCAAGTTCATCTTCTGTGAAGTTTATTTCTGATTTAATGTCTATTAAGCTCTTTCTGATGCAATTTCTTAACATTTCAAATCTTTCCAGCATTGCTAACAAACTGTTCCATCTTGTTTTGCAGTCGAGTATTAAAGAATATTCCTTATTAAATTCTTCTTTTACATGTTTTTGTAGAATCTTATCATTTTTAGTCGGTGATTTGCGAAAAATTTTAACGACTTTTCGAATTTTTGTAATTAAACCATTTAATTCAATATTTGATAAGAAAGTTGGCACTGGCAGAGCTTGATCGATGGTTCCACCAGCTTCGTATTCAATTTCAAAATCATCGTGGAAAATTTCATTTTCCTCATTATTGGAATATTCGGAATCAGATTCATTACCTGTGTCGGACTCACTATCTTCATCGATATTTTCGTCATGTAATTTATTAGCTTCGTGTAAATCAGTTTTATTGTTGTATAATACTTTAATTACGGCTAATTGTATGCCATGTGCTATACATAATTGGTGGTGTGGATCTATCAATTTTCCCACTTTTTTCATTACTGAAACACCGTCTGTAGTAATTGATACAATGTTTGTAAAACCAAGTTGAAACTCACTAAGCTTTTTGTTCAAAATCTCCACGCATTTTTCCGCTGGCATGGATCCATGAACCCGAGCTAATCCTAAGTTCCAAAAGGCATCCTTTGTATGGACATTTATGTTCATGAAGCGATGGTTTTTTACCGATGTCCATTCATCGAAAGTCAAACTAAACACTTCTCCCCGAAGTTTATTCTCTTTCAACTCGTTTATTGCTTCTTGAAGCATTTTATTAGAATATTCCAAAACAATTTTTCTTATGGTATTTGGTGATTTCGGTATATCTCCATAACCTTTTACTTTTAATAATTTTCTTAAATCTTCTGAAGTGCAAAACTTATCAAATGGCAAACCGTCCAGTGCAGTCAAACGTGCAATTACTGCTGGAAATGATTCATCTACAATCTGTTTAAAATACGACGTAATTGTAGATATTTCTTTGTAAGGCTGGCTGTCGCGTTTTCCAGAAATTCCAGATAAAGGTATAGATTTTCCTCTTTTTAACAAGTTTATTTCATGCTGACTCTTTAAATGACTGCGTAAACCACTAGTGCTTCCTCCAGCAGCTTTAATTTGTCTGGAACAAAGTTTACACACACCCCCATCCTTAGTTTTGTTATAATGTTGCCAAACAGAAGTTGTATCCATTGTTTGCTATTGGCTACAACTGCAAGGAAAAGAAGAAAGATGTTTTTATTACATACCCCTGTTTAAAATGAAATAATTATACCTTCAAAGTGCAGATTCACTCACAGAATTAAGTACTAAATGCAAATTTAACCGCTTAATTCCTCACTTGACAGTCAACATGCCGCGACCTGCGTTCCTGTTCAATCTTGTTTACGATTCATCCCTTCCTCGCTGCGCATTCATCACAGAAACAACGGATCCGCGCTGTTGTCGGCTTGGCATTTTTTACCGAGATTACCGGTAAAAAATGTCGATTTCTCGTCGGTAATTTAAAGAACTTTTGAGGCGGTAAATCGGTAAACCGGTAAATCGGTAAACCGGTAGTGCAATCCCTAGTTTGCATCAAACATAACAGAATTTTGAAGCGGAGATTATCATTTTCTGAAGAAAATCATATTTTTGTCGATAATAAGTGATAATTAGTAATTGAAAGTTAGTAGCAAGATGGAGCTACTGGTATGAAGAGGTTTTATCGAATTTACAATTTTTTTAATATTACAGAAATTTCGAAAATTTTTAAAAAATATCGAAATCTAAAAAATGTAATAGAAAGATAAAATCCGAGTCACATAATTATGTAAAATTGAAATAGAAACAACTTTTTCAAGTAAACTTTTCCGATATTCGAACAAATAAGCCCACTTTCAGCGATTAATTTGAAAAAATGTCACTTTTGACATGTAGAGAAAGTCACGTGACCCCGACTGAGTAGGCCATTTTTCATCTTTTTTGAAGCAAAACTTGACGTCCAACTCGAATTTCAAAATAAGTCATTAATAAAAGTGTTTCCCATATGATGCTGACTTTACGAATGACACTGTATAAGCAGCACACTAGAATAGGATATTTAGTTTTAATCTTTTCCTGAAGATGCTAACATAGTTAGCGAAACACGTGTCGAGGCGTTAAAAAATCGGTTTGGTTAGTGGTAAAACAGTGTAGTGTATTATCGTGCCAAAGGTTCCAGTCTTCGATTTACCATCTAATGTTTATTCCGTACACCAATTTTCAAAATTCAATAGTAAATTGTTTCAAAGTTATAGAAAAAAAAGTGTAAGTTGTCCTATTCAAAGGGATGCAGCTCCTTTAGAAAGCATATTTGGGCCCACATCTATTCGGACTTTTTGTCTTATTTTTGAACAAGGATCACGGCCCGAAAGGATGCCGCTTACTTTTAAATCACCGTGTAAACTTTTGAGGCTTGTCATTGTTTGTTCTTATCCGGCCTTTTTTGTCGCCAGGCCCTTTCCAAGTTGTACCAGCAGACGCTTGTCGACGTCCACGACAAAGTCGACCCGGTCCTGAAAAGCACTTTGTCGATTAAAGAGGACCTCACAGCGACGACCAATCACGCGAAAACAGAGACGAAAGACGACAAAGACAGAGAAAAGAAACATGAGGACAGTAAGACGAGGTGGGAGAACGACAAAGACAGAGACAGCAAAGAGGGGAACGTGAAAAAGGAGGAGGATGAGGTGCTGTCTGACGTGGAGATGAAAGAGGTGAAGAAAGAGAAAGACAGTTGATCATGTTACTTTCGCACTTGCGCAATGGTGTTTCCAGCCGCGTGTAGTTAGTTTATTTGTCGCAGATAAGTTCTTTATTTTTATTATGTTTAGGATGGAATTCATGGGAGCATGTGTGTTTGTTGTTTATATTCATTTTTCCGCGATTTCATGATGCATTTTGTTTAGGAAAAACATTATTTGATGTAATATAGGCAATCACGGGCTTGTTTCCCTAATAAAAATGTGAAAATACTTCCTGTGTTTCAATATATTCAATAGTGACATAATTTTTGCATGAAATAATGTACCTCGAGGAGAGAACCAAAAGATAACGACAGAGATAGAAAACAGGAGGACGGAAAAACGAGGCGGAAATGGAATTCATTGGTACCTGTGTGTTTATTGTTTATATTCATGTATCCGAAATTGCATGATGCATTCGTGAGAGAAAAGGTAACTGACATGATGACAGAGACAGCAGAAATGGTAGGGTGAAAAAGGAAGAGAAGCTGTAATGAACGCGAGGACTCGACCAAGATTATTACAACAAAGAATGTACTTAGTAAGTGGAAGGTCGCTTCAGATATATTGTATTCTGACATGACTTTCCTGTTATATTTATATTTATCTCGAAAACGGAGACGAAAGAGACAAAGACAGAGAGAAGAGGACGGGGACAGCAGAGATGGGAGCGTGAAAAGAAGGAGGATGAGGTGCTGTCTGACGTGGAGATGAGAGAGGTGTAGTAGTCGGAAAGGAGAAAATAATGTTTCATCCCAGCGAGCACAAAAACATCTCAGAGATGTTAATAGTACACATGTGTATTGATGAATTCGTACTTTTATATATTGATTACACTGAGGCACCGAACAACATATCTTGCATCTGATGGTCATTATTACAAACTAAATAAGTCTTCTAACACAATAAACTTCACCAAATTCCTTTCTGTTCGTTAGCAGCGTGATGTGAGCGTGACACGCTGCAAACGCGAATGCCAATTGCGAACAAGAAGAACAAAATCGAAAACAAATCAGAATTCTTCGTATTGTGACGTGAGCATGAGACGTTTTGGTGGGGTAAACAAAGAAAGGGCACAAAAGAACAAAAACAATACTTTCAATATCCTTCTAAGACCTCTTAGGGAAGTGCATATTATACGCCTCAATAAAACATCCTCATGCCTACATTTCTAAAACATCCCAAAACATCCCAGGGATACCTCTCATCAGTAGGCAAACAAAGAAAAGCCACAGAAGAACAAAAACAATACTTCAATATCCTTCAAAGACCTCTTTGGTCAGTGCATATTACGTCTCAAAATAACATCTTCATGCCAACATTTTCAAAACATCCCAGGGATGTTTGTGCTCGCTGGGATTTTACATCATCATTAGACATGAGTATATGTATTCATCTGAGACATGACGAAAATCATAGAATCTGCGAGATATGTACGTCCGCGTCGTACGTCCTCGAAACGTTTGGCGCCGTACGTCCTCAGGACGCCCAAATTAGAGTCTGGGACGTTCGGCCATGAATAGGATATAAACCGGACGTCCTGTACTATCTGGGATATTTGTCGCAGATGTTTTTTATTTTCAATATCAAAAGTTAAAAGCTTTTAACTTGCATTGTATGTTTTGTATGGATGTATGTATGTTCGGGTGGAATCTTTGAACTCAATTTTGAAGTAGAAATCTTCAACCGATTGAGCTGAAATTTTGTATACACGTTCAGTTTGGATGACAATGCACGATAAGGTGTGCCACGTTATTCTAAATCCAATATAGCGGACTATCCAAGATGGCGGAATAGCTATTTTTGATATACCTTCACAATAATATGGGTATCAAATGAAAAGGCTCGTTGAGAGTAAATCGAAAAATCCAGCTAGGGATAACTAAAAACTGAAAAATAAATTGAAAGTAAAAAAAATTTTTAATAAAAAGCTTTTATTTAAACGTTCTAAAAAGAAGAAAATGAAATTTTTCTCAATAATTTCAACTATCAACTTATAACCTCATACACAATTTATATGATCATAAAAGCTTGTGGCGATGATCAATATTTAATTAAATTGTAATTTTAAAAATTTTATCAGCAGATTTTACCTAATTAAATAAGAACTATATTCCAATAAATAAAGGAAAAAAGTTAACATTAATTACGCACTATTTTCATCTTCTGGTTGGAAGTAGCTTTTGGTACCTCATTAAACATGAGACAAAGTTTGACTGGAAAACGAGTGCGATGGCGGAGAAAATGGACCCAAAAGACCAGAAAAATAGGTTTTCAGCCGATATCTCCTAAAATATGGCAGTTAGAGATTTTCGGGTCAGATAAAAATTGAAGTTCAGTTAATTTTCTACAAAAATGGTGCTTATCATTTTTCTCGAAAATTTGCCCGGTTTCGAGAAAAACGGCACGAAGCGCACCTCGAATAATGAGCTTGTGTTGTATGCCGGAGAGCACAGTCCGTGTATTTACACATCGGCGGGGGGACAAATTATTCAATAACTCTGTTAAAAATGCATATTTTCTCATGATTCAAAGTTCATCTGAAAGAGGAATTCTACTGCTATTATACCCTGTGAATTGAGTCACGCTTGACTCTTTTGGCCATATCGGAACATAGGTCAAACTTTCTGCTCCCGGTCAATTTTGACCTCGCCAGGAATTTTTTCCTTTTTTTTTTTTGTATTGCACTAATTTACTCAAAATCTTCTTGATTATGGGTTCTCATAAGGTCCTTTGTCATCCCTGAAATTTGTATGCCCTAATTTTTTTTTAATTTTCATTTAATCATTGTTTATTGAATCCCAATTTTTTGCTGTTTTTGGAGCGCGGGGAAATTTTGTGAACAACCATCAATTAAAAATTTATACATGATCCGATTGGTTTCTATGATACATCATTTGAAAGCTAAGAAGGTCTACTTTTCGATTGTGCAATTACTTTTTTAGACGAAGTAGTCCATTTTTCAATAAAATTAGAAAAAGCGGGGTCGAGGAAAAGACGCACTTTTTTTTTCGGTGGTTTTTTTCACCGTGCTCTTTATTTCTAACATTTTAACACCTTAACTAGTGTAACGGGGAAATTCCCACCTTTCCATCGATGTATATAAGTCATACCTTTGATATCCCGGGAAAAAACCAGTATATCTAAATGTACACGCTATAATTTATTAATTACTTTCGTTCCTCCGTCGTTCGCCGCGTGTGTGCTCTACAAGGCGCTCGGGTCGTCTGCTACAAACCATGCGGCCACGCAGGTTATGATAGCAGCAGAATTCCTCTTTCACATGAACTTTGAATCATGAGAAAATATGCATTCTTAACAAAGTTATTGAATAATTTGTCCCCCCGCCGATGTGTAAATACACGGACTGTGCTCTCCGGCATACAACACAGAAGCTCATTATTCGAGGTGCGCTTCGTGCCGTTTTTCTCGAAACCGGTCAAATTTTCGAGAAAAATGATAATGACCATTTTTGTAGAAAATTAACTGAACTCCAATTTTTATCTGACCCGAAAATCTCTAACTGCCATATTTTAGGAGATATTGGCTGAAAACCTATTTTCCTAGTCTTTTGGGGCCATTTTTCCGCCATCGCACGTGTTTCCAGTCAAACGTTGTCTCATGTTTAATGAGGTACCAAAAGCTACTTCCAACCGGAAGATGAAAATAGTGCGTAATTAACGTTAACTTTGTCTTTTTTCCTCCTTCATTTATTGGACTACTAGTTCATTCACACAAGTGAATCGCGCGACAAGCTTTCATGATCCTATAAATTGTGTATAACGAGGTTATAAGTTGATAGTTAAAATTATTGAGAAAAATTTTATTTTCTTATTTTTAGAGCGTTTAAATAAGAGCATTTCATTAAAAAGTTTTTTTTTTACTTTCAATTTATTATGTTTAGGATGGAATTCATGGGGTCTGTGTGTTGTTTATATTCATTTTGCAATTACTTTCTGCGTTTTAATATATTCAATAGTGCGACATGATTTCCGGGTGATAATTCACCTCAAGGAAAGAGGAAACGGGGGGAATAGGTGGGTGAATGACAAGGACAGAGAGGGTAGAAGAAAATGAGTGGCTGATGTAAGCTGCAATGAACACATGGGGACTCGACCAAGATTATTACAAGAACGAATGCATTTAGGAAGTAGAAGGTCCCTTCAAATATTCAGGGTGAATATGAAAGTTTTTTCTTTCAACAGAACATAATCTCGCCAAAATAAGTTGTTTGGCATAATGCTTTATTTCCCTCCAAACATTTTTTGGTTTACTTTATAAAGAAAATTAATAGGTTACAAATGGAAATAGAGGTTTTTCATTAATTCTTCATTTTTTCTGATGAAATAATGCAACTCTGTAAGGGATCTAATGCTGGACTAATAACGGCCGCTCTATCGCAGATATACCGGGTGTCCCATTTTAATCTTTATTTGGAAATTTCTTGAAATGCATGCATCTGACAAAAAAAATTGCCGAATAAAAGTTGTATGGTTTGGAGGGGGACGTCTGGTTATAAAACAAGTTTCACCTCTGACCCCCAGGGGAATGGGAAATGGAGGTAACATTGAAATCTTTAATGGAAACCCCTATTTTTTATTGCTGATTCTGGAAGAGCATTAAAAACTATGAAGCTTTTATTCGGGAACTCCTTTTTTATTTTCACAAGATGGCGCTGCGATCTTGAAAAACAATATTTTACTATTTAGTTTGTAGTTGGCCACCCAGATCACCCGACTTGACTTCCCCAGACTTCTTTCTGTGAGGTTACATTAAAAACATTGTGTTTCGCGAACCCCCAACCATACGCGAGAATATGAAAGATAGAATCAGAGGAGCGTGCATGGCTTTAACGCCTGCTATGTTGGAAGCGACAGTGCGGAATTTTGAAAAACGAGTGAACTTGTGTATTCAAGAAAATGGAGGTCATTTCGAACACTTGATAAAGTAGTCAATCTCACTTAAAACCAGCTTGAGTCTGACCTAAATGATACCTTAATTGCTGAACCATGCTTATTTTTCTCTTTTCTATGTAGAGGTGTCAAGGTAAGTTCGTGTATAGCGTTAATTTGTCGTGTTAATATCACCCAATGGCGTTTGTCCGGGAAAATATCACACCCTACACTCTTCCTCGTCTTCAGGGGGTTGAAATGTGTAAATAGTGAAATATAGTTTTTTACGATCGCAGCGCCATCTTGTGAAAATAAAAAAGAAGTTCCCGAATAAAAGCTTCATAGTTTTTAATGCTTTTCCAGAATCTGCAATAAAAAATAGGGGTTTCCATTAAAGATTTCAATGTTACCTCCATTTCTTACTCCCCTGGGGGTCAGGGGGTGAAACTTGTTTCATCCCCCTCCAAACCATACAACTTTTATTCGTCAATTTTTTTTGTCAGATGCATACATTTCGAGAAATTTCCAAATAAAGATTAAAATGGGACACACTGTATATCCAGTTGAAAAAAAACTCATTTTCAGATTCACCCGGTATAACCTGAAATGATTTTCGCGTGAAAATGTATTTCGGAAATAGAGACGAAAGACGACAAGGACAGAGAGAGGAAATAGCAGGACAAGACGAGGTGGGAGAACGACAAAAACAGAGATAGCAGAGGGTGAAAAAGTGTGAAAAGAGGGGTCGCTGTCCGACGAGAAGATAAATGTCAAAAAATACAATGATATTGAAATGGTCAACAGAACAACGTGCGAGCCTATGAGCCAGAAGTCCCGGGTTCAAAATCTGCTCCACTAATTTTTTTTTCGTTTTCCGAAGTGATTAATTGAAAAAAATACTGTGGGGGCATTTGCTGTAGGGCCATCGTTATTCGCTATTCCAATGAGGTTTTTCTCCAGGATCGAACATAAAAAGGGATTCATTTGAAATGTTGATAATTTCGACATGCGAAATGGCACTAATGTCAGTGACGAAATGACTTCAATGACTATACTGAGCGATTGTTAGTAGTTTTTTTTTATGTTCTGGTTCCCACAAAAAGGTATATCCTGTAATGTTCAGAGAACATCGTGAGAACCAAGGGAAATAAGGTAGGAATTAATTGGTGTTCTTCTTGAATTTCTAGAGGCTATATGCCTCGGGGAACACCTCCCTTGGCAATGTGTTCCAGAGCCTCATCGCTGTTCGTTGGATGAGATGTTCTGCAGGTCTCCAAAGTGACCACGAAGGGGTGCGAAGTCTCAACTCGACGGGTTAATCTCGCGGGGCCTGCCAAGGGAGGAACAATTGTTGATATTTCAGAAGAGCATTGTGCATAAAAATATCTATAAAATAGAGCCAGATCGCCAACTTCTCTATGGTGTTCCTGAAAAGTGAGTGAGCTTGTGAGTGAGGCATCACCCACGAGACGAATTGCTCTTTCTTGTACAGAATCCAACAGTTTCAGGGTATGTTTGGGTGCTGCACTCCAAATATGGAAACAGTATTCCAGGACAGGTCGGATCTGTGCCTTATAGATCATAAGCAGCTGACTGGAAGAGAAATAGCTCCTGGCCCGGAACAGAAGACCAAGTTGTTGGGATGCACTTTTAGCAATTGATCTCACGTGCTTTTCTCAAGAAAGGTTATTGCTGATAGTAATACCAAGCATCGAAATGGATGTCTTCAAAGGTATGGTTACTCCTGACATGCTTGTTTGGCACAATGAGATCGGCTTTTCTAGAGAAAAGGCATGCTTGTGTTTTGTTTCCATTGAAATCTACCAAGTTATTGGATCCCCATTAGAGAATTGTTGCCAAGTCCATATTTATGTTGTCAACATTTCTCCCTCGTTCGTTTCTGATGTGCCTGGCTGGTATTGGAGCCCTGGAAGAGAAGGCGGTACGGAGGATACTATCATCCGCGAAGCTGTGTACTGGACATGAAGTTGCTTCCAACAAATCGTTGATATGGAGTAGAAATAGTGTTGGTGCTAGAATTGATCCTTGCGGAACACCAGCATTTATGGTAAGAGAGTCAGATGAAACTCCGTCGACCACTACATGAAGAGACCTGTTTGAGAAAAAACTGGCTAGCAGAGAACATAGCAGGAAAAATATAGTAGTGGGATACCAACAATAAGGCGATAAATGATGTAACGTCAAGCTTAGGAAAAAATGGTTTCATAGTAGTGAACAAGGATTAGGTTTAGTACTTTTGAATGCTGAAATTTATTATTGAAATCCCAGTGACAGAACTTTGCAAGGACGGGATGAGAGGTGATTCAAAAAAGCATAAAAGAATTTCTGTATAATATCAGTCAGTCACTGTGAAAAAACGGTAACAACATATAAAACTGTCAGTCTAACCACATAATACACTCAGCTGTCACAGAACAGTGTCAAAAATGGACAAATCAAATTCAAAAAAACCTATAATGCTCATTCTATTATTTACAACTTCTAAGAAAAAAAATCAATGAAAATAATACATAGGATGTAGATACTTCCAAAAATCACCGCTTTCCGATTTGGCATCATCAGAAGCATCTTTATCTACTTTTTTCTCCACGTTTTTACTCCTATCGCTTATGTTCAAATTAGCGTCGAACTGCTGCAGCAAAATCTCGATCGGCTCGAATTCCGGGTACATCGTTTTCAATTTTTTCGGCAGAAAACTGCAGTAATCCAGCTTCTCTTTCTGCCTCTGGGCCTCGGCCAATCGTTCTTCCTCTATCACCACCTGAAATTCCATTTACATGATAATTGAAACTTCCCGTCCTCTGAGGGAAAGGAATTTGAATAGCAGTGTGTAAGGTATACGCTAGTATTGAATATCCCGCGTTCCTAGGAAGAGAGAGGACATATAATTTTCACAATTTTCTTTCTCTTTCACTTTAGCGTTTAATAATGGCCGCAATCGGATGCAAATAATAATGTGAAAGCCACAAAAACAAACCGTTAAATCAGAGCGACCATGCATGATTTTTTTTGTTTGTAATAATCTCTGGTTGACAAATTTTCTGGATGCATTTTCTTTTGATTTCTGGCTTTATGAACCCTAGTAGAATTGAGCAAGTGATGAGCAGTGATGAAAAATTATTTGCAATTATGAATATAATTGTAAGTCATCCCAAAGATATCAGTTTCATAGTTTTCTCTGAAATGACCGGAATCCTTTGAAATAAAGTCAAATTATGAGTGGTCCATTTAGTGTGTTGAGAACTGTACAACGCTCTGCTAATTTAGCTAACGGGACATTCGTCGATCAATCGGCAGGAAGGTCGAGTTCTCATCACACAACAGGCGGCAGAATCCTTCCAATTCCCGAATGAGACAAAATCTTTCACTTAGGTAGGCACATTTACCTTGCACGCTTGGCTGACGCCCTCCGACAGGCAATAGCTCTTGTAGTTTTTCGCCGCTTCGCGCAGTCTGGCCAGAAAATCGGGCATGGCCCTGGTGGCCACCCACATGGTCACAGATGACGGCACGTTGACGCCGGGATTGTCGAAGTAGGTCAGACTGAACTCGAGGCCAGGTTTCTTCATGTCTACGCAATAAATGAATTTATTTAATTTATTTATTTATTCATTTTAAAAATAACATACATATCAGCATACTCTATCAATAATAATATACATTTATTTTTTATAATATGAACATGATCAAAAAAGTTGAAAAGTTGTCCATGATCATGTAATATTTTTTTTCCTTCCACTGACTAACTAATAGTTATTTTTGTATCTAGAGCGCGAAATGCTACTTTGGTGATCGAGATCTGATTTTTTTAACGAGGCGTAGCCGAGTTGAAAAAATAGTAGAGATGACCAAAGTATTTCGCGCTCGAGTTGCAAACAACATTTTTTCTACAAACGTAAAAAAATATAGTTCTAAAGTAAAAATATGCTTAGCTTGATATAAAAAATAGTGTTGAACTGGCTTAAAAGGCCTTCTTCTATTCTCCCTAGGTACGCACGATGTTCCACGAACATATTTGGAATTTCCTTTCGTGCGCTCCAAGAGATAAAACAGAGTTATTGTTGAACATTCAGAAATGAATGATTTCGTGGATGTTTGCTCGATTGAGGATCATAAAGTTGAAATATAAATATCTCATATATTTTACATAACAAATGCGCGAAGTAGGTACTTCGCGCACTGTTTTACTTCGCGCATTGTTTTGGGCAAGGTATCATGGTAACGTAGGAAACTGAAAAAAAGTGTCACTTCGCAATTTGTTATCAATGCGCGAACCTTGTCATTTTTTGACGTTTGTAGAAAATAGTTATTTATTATACAAGGGAAAATAGTAGTAGATTTTAGCTCCAGGTTGTGTTGGAGCAAGTTAGGACACTAGGACACATGTTTATATGAACTTTATTTGCTAGAATGTCACAAGGAAACACTCCTTGAATTTTTTCGGTGATATTTAGATTCACCCTGTATACAGTGTGTCCCACTTACCATGCTCACCATGGGTATCTTTTTAACGGTGAGAGATACGAGGTCGGTTAAATGACATCAAATGTGGAGTTTGTCAAGGCCAACTATAATGTGAAGAAATATTTTGAAAAAATGTATTCGTTTTTGTTTTATACGCAAAAAACAGATTCTGATCATTTTCAAGTCTCCTCCGTAACTTCTTTATTTATGAACATATTCAAATAGGAATTTCACATTCTCATGGCAGTTTTTCAAAGTGATTTCGAAAAAAATATGAAATTTATACCAACTCTTCTAGAATTTGAGATATCAGCACCAACTTTAGTTTTTCAAATGTAGGTCATAGCTCACTATGACTTAGTTACAAATAACTTTATTTCTCTAACAGTAGTAGTAAATCAGGTCCAGGACCAAGTTGCCGGGGTAGCAACAGTGGGATTTCTCCCCCCTCTCACAAGACTCCCATAGGGGATGACTGCCGGCCTGTATCTTTCGACTTTACCGACGCAGTCGCCCCAGGGAGAAATGGAGGATTTGGATACGCCAAATCAGCGCGCTAGAGCCATCTCCGTTATGTAACGGCATGTTCTCCTGCTACCATTTTATTATACCAATGGTGAGGCCGTCTGATAAGACAGACTACTGGCTCTGCAGTGTCAGTGCCCGAGCAGAAACGCTGCTCACCCGCCGAGGCAGGCAAGATATCCTCCCACTTTCCCACTTGACCCATAGTGGGATTCTTCTTTACCTCCTCTACCGTAGTCCGGTGGTGTTTTTTGGAAACCGCTGCCCCCTGGAGTCCAACCCAATTGGTGAGGCACCAGGCCGCATGTACGGCCTGATGGGGCTATCCTCATCACCCCAGGTACCCATGTCAACAAGATTCCTCTTGTTACGTTTGATGGGTCGCCGTCGCAAAAGGATTTCGCCTAATTGCCACTCATGTTGACAAGAATCCTCTCGTCCCGTTGAATGAGTGATCGTTCGAGGACTTTTACACGTTCCTCTACCTCGTTTACAGGAGAGAACCCGGCTTTACCTATGATGTCTGGCGATAGGATCGCTTGGGGCTGCCCTCTCCCTGTCGAACTGAGGCACAAGGTACACCAAAGTTCCATTTTTCGCCGAGCAAGCCCAGCTACCCATGTCGACCAGAATCCTCTGGTCCCGTTTGATGGGTGTCCGTTCGCGGCCTTTCACACGTACCGCTACCATGACAAGAGTGAGGACCTCAAGCTTTTAACCAGTGGTGTCTGGAGTCACCTGAGGCTACCCCCACTCCGACGCCGTGAGTACATGGTGGGCCCACGGCCGTTCTTTCTCTTACAGATGATATGTCGCAGTAATAGTTTTGTATTGATAACAACGGAGTTATCGTCATTTATACAAAAACAAAAAATTATTTGGAAGCCGCCATCTTGAATTTATAAATTTTAACAGAAAAATCATGATCTCCGACCTCAAAAACCCTTACTTACCAAATTTGAATGGAATCGGACCAAATCTTGTCCGCCATCTTGGAGCAGCCATTTTTTTTAATTTCAACAAAAATTCCATAATGTATTGTCACCGAAATTATGAACATCTGCCAAATTTCAAGTTGATAGGACGGTGACAATACATTATGGAATTTTTGTTGAAATTAAAAAAAATGGCTGCTCCAAGATGGCGGACAAGATTTGGTCCGATTCCATTCAAATTTGGTGAGTGGGGGTGTTGAGGTCAGAGATCATGATTTTCTTGTTAAAATTCATAAATTCAAGATGGCGGCTTCCAAATAATTTTTTGTTTTTGTATAAATGACGATAACTCCGTTGTTATTAACACAAAACTATTACTGCGACATATCATCTATAAGGGGAAAAAAGTTATTTGTAACTAAGTCATAGTGAGCTATGACCTACATTTGAAGAACTGAAGTTGGTGCTGATATCTCAAATTCTAGAAGAGTTGGTATACATTTCATATTCTTTCCGAAATCAGTTTGAAAAACTGCCATGAGAATGTGGAATTCCTATTTGAATATTTCCATAAATAAAGAAGTTACGGAGGAGACATGAAAATGATCAAAATCTGTTTTTTGCGTATAAAACGAAAACGAATAGATTTTATCAAAATATTTTTTCACATTATAGTTGGCCTTGACAAACTCCAGATTTGGCGTCATTTAACCGACCTCGTATCTCTCACCGTTAGAAAGATACCCATGGTGAGCATTGCAAGTGGGACATACTGTATATGAATACATTGAGTTCTCATTTTGTATGTGATGAAAATATTAATTCTTTCTCGGTCTATTCAACAGAAAACCACTAGTTTCCTGGCTATATGCCACGACGAACATTGAATTACATCTATTGAACACACACGTTAAGAATTTGAAAATGCGAAAAAAAATCGAAAGTTGGAAACCCAAAATGAACTTCGATGTTTTGGAGCTTCGTTTCTGAGATACAAGGTGTGGAAGTTTTTTGAACATAATAGTTCTTCATTTACATCACAAAAAATCTTTGATATTTTCATTTGAATTAGGTACCTGTTTCATGAGTTTTTCAAAAATCTTCCCCAATTTTCAGAAAACAAAATGGAAACATATGAATTCAAATTTTAATGTAGGTCATTCAAGACATCCATTGAGATCATTCGATAGCCATAATAAGTATAATTTGGAGATTTTGAGAATTTTGCAGTTAACGACTATACACTGAATTTGGGCATTATGAACGCTTATACAGGGTGATAATGAAGAAAGGGAAATATTTTTTTGATTTCAAAACCTAGCAACTCGAATACAAAGCTCCGTGTGCTTGCATGTGTATTCAACAACTTAGAGGTCATATCGATCAATTCATTTAGACGTGTTGAATTTCTATCTTTTTTTTTTTGTAAAAATTATTTTACATTACATTATTTATTATCCAACAATAACCATTACTTTTCTAATTATCTTAAGAACAAATAATTTTATCGAAATTTTAGAGGAGACAAAAAATACTCAAAAATAATAGAACACTTGAAGAAAAATAGATAGGAAGTCAGTAGCGTACGTACAAAAAAAATGTGTGGTACTTGACCCCCAGTATTTTGAATATTTGACATTTATTTTCTGTTTTGTTTTCCTCACACGTTGAGATTAAAATATCTTATTAAATACTCGAGTAATTAAAAAAAAAAACATTTTTTAATTTCCAACTTTGACACCCTGTATATCGAATATGAAGGCTAAAATGAAAAATGGTATTTAGAAACTAATATTGTTTTTGTTCAAGGAATATATGGTTAATGAATTGACCTCCTTTTAGCGGACACCCTGTATATGTGAATATATTTTGCCTATTCGTAACAGAAATACAAGGTATTATTTGAATTGCGGGCGACATTTTGATGAATGATATTGTAGGAACGTCTCGATGTTATCTCCTGAAATTCACCAGCAATTTATCTATAGTGACACACCACACAATCGCTTACTATGGAAAAAAATCCAGAGCCGGACTTGGAACACTAATTTTCTTCTTAAATGTCAAAATTTCGGAATTTCTGAATCGTATTTTTCGAAAACTTCCATTAGAATCAGAAAGATCAGGAAAAACACTACAAGTATAGCTTTTCAATTTGAATGGCAGACTTCGACCGTTCCATGATTTCGTACTGGCTATTGTAGTCACATCGTTCAACAAATTAATTCAAATCTATTTCTTGCATATAGGCATCGATATCACCGGTGTATTATTATTATTATTAGGAGTTGGAAAGAGGCTCTATACAGGGTGGCTACGGAAGTATTGCCTACGGAATATCTCAGTTATTGTATGAAGTAGGTTTGTGAAATTTGGCATGTCGAAGTGAACTTCCGGTCTGACCGGAAGTAACATCAACATTCTTATTTTAAATGGAAACCCTTTTTTTTTCGCTTCATTCAGCATTTAATTCCCTTTCTAATGACATATCACAAGTTGGTATCCAACCAGAAACTAGATCAGAAAAAAATTATTATTGAAATTCACCGAGTAGGCCGTGGAAGCAAAATGAAAGCCAAAAATTGAAAAGTTGGCTATGGAAACCATACGTCACTTGATAACAGTTGCTACTACTGTGATATTTTATTTTCATTCGTCGGCGTTATGAAAAGCTGCCAAAAAAAATATTGGAAAAATTGGGGAAAAACAATACTCTGTAGGTCCATAACTTAAATAGGAACATACAACTTTTTCTTGCCTGAACTATTCAGCACAACCATTCCTTTCTAATGATATAATAGAAAGTAATTTTTTGTAATTAAATACAAAAAAATCCAATTATTATTCTTCAAATAACAAAACAGATTATCGCCATACGCAATAATAATAATTTTTTTTCTGATCTAGTTTCTGGTTAGATACCAACTTGTGATATGTCATTAGAAAGGAAATTGAATGCTGAATAAAGCGAAAAGTAAAAAAAAATAGGGTTTCCTTTCAGTTCACAAATGTCAAAACAGATTTGACATTGACCGCCATTTGCAAAAATAAGAGCTACTTCCAATATGGTGATTTCTTTTGGCCCACCTAGTATAAAGTGTGGTCGACCAACTTTGAGCTACTTGTTTTTCTATTGAAATTACATTGGACCACTTTGAGATAATGATAATTTTCATGATTTAGATATCAATATCTTCACTATTAGGTAGGTATTTAATTTAATACTTTCTTGCCATTGATAACTCTTGTGCAACATCTAGCATTAACAGATGATCAACATTTCCTTGAAATAGTGCCACATGTTTTTCTTAAAAACTTTAACCACTCCATAAATCACCAGAAAAAGCTAGTGGATATATGCCACTATAACAAGTGAAAAAAAAAACATGACAAGTTGTTAATTTATTATCTAGATGGATAATGTCATTAAATAACCACCCGAATGATAGTTGTTAAAATAACCACACTCTTAATGAATCGGACCGAATGTTGATTGTATATATTTACCTTCATAGGGTTTTATGACCATGTAGGACCAATAGTCTTCTATGCGAAATTTCTCTGGATATTTCGGAAATTTCGGGTACTCTGTGCTTCGTGACACTATGTATATGGTGTTCGTTTCTTCGTCGACTAGATAACGACGGTGGAAAACGTAGTCTCGATTCACAAAGAGCCTCTGGAAAAATCATTAGCGGTTCATTCAAATTGAAATTAAATTAAATTAAAAAATTACTAAAGGTTCTCATTCAAGTGTTAACATCATTGTCTTTTGATGAAACACCTTTAAGGACCTGCTGAGTGAAATTTATGCTTTACCATACATTTTTATTTCAATTATTTCATTAATCTTTCATCAGATTTAAATGATATTTTTCTGAATCATCTATTTTTAACTCTTTTAGAGTTTCAATATGTCATTGATCTGTTTAACGTAGTTCAACTAGAATTTTCAGTTTATCCTACATTTATGTTTCATCAGAATCATTTTATAAATTCGTGATTTCTCAGTATCCCTGTTTTTTTTTCGTATTTCCGAAATGAATTCTTCAAAGGAATTTTTTCAAAGCTCATCTAGCCATCTAATTGTGGTTGAATTGGAATAAAATTCATTTTATTAGTTGATTTTCGATTAGTTATTATTTGTATGCATTACTTATCAACACTAATAGTCACATTCAGGATATTTTTGGAGTGAAAGAAAATAGCACTAGTATATGCAGGAGAATTTATACCAGTCAATTTCATTCAACCAGGTGCTTCATTTCGACATTGGTATGGTAACCAGCATATTTTTTTGGAAACTTTTCATCTACATGAGCATGTAGATGTAAAATTAATAAATGTAAATTTTCTGGCACATGAAAGCTATCATATAATTAGACATTATTGAAATAATATCGACAATATTTTTCATCTCCCGGAAACCTAGTAAGAAAATCATATGAAATCAATTATTTTTATGTTGACTATTCCACTCTTGATCTCTAGAACCAATCAGAATCGACCATTTTCACGGTTTCTTCTGTATTCTAGTGATATTTTTTGTTTATTAAATTTTATCGGACTTGCTCTACCAATACAGAAGTCCACACGTGACCAGCAAACCTCGTTTATCAGCGATAAAATTTTGACATCCTGTCTGGTCAAGATTGCTTTGGATTCAAATCTGAGACAATAACCTAAGTTCCTACTTTATTTTATTTACTTATGATTTGCGTGAGTGAGACATTTTGTACGAAAGGCGAGACAATTTCACTCTGGCTGGACGTTTCATGTGTAATTTAAAAAGTTTACATATTTGTTGGCGGTCTGACAACAATACTAGAATTCAAATTCCTTTTTGAAGTAACCTTCTTCAATTATTCAAGTTATTGTGACTGACATAATTACCAGATGATGTGGCGCAACCTCGGGCGCAACTGATAGATAGCGTTGTTGCGCGGGGATACGAAGGTCGGTGGTTCGAGCCCCTCGGCAACGAAATATTTTTTTCAATTATTCCATGTCATAAATTCAATTTTTTTTTTTTTTAATTGGATAGCAATTGTGTACACTCTTTTGAGAGCAACCATCTCCAAGATAAAAAAAAATACTGTTTATCAAAATGGTACATTCCAATTTGTGAATAACTATAAGTAGGTAGTTAATTTCTAGAAGATTAAATTCTGTATTTTATTACTATCATTATGTTCTTCTTCGCAGTTGGAGTTGGAATATACTTAAATTGTGTTTCTTATTTCTTATATATATTGTCTCATTCAATCATGAAATAGTCATACGAATACAACTCGTGATACTATTTTTCCTGGAAATATTCGTCGATTGACATACTCCAGCTTGCTGCTCTAATTTCGCTCATGACATTGATCCAAAACTACTCGCCTATAGCTCGTAGTTTTGATAACAATGTCATTCACGAAATTACTAGGCAACAAGCTGTCGTAACAATCACCGAATATTTCCGGCAAAATATTATCACTTGTGGTATTATATATGATAACGTTTCTGATACTTTAATAGTAGAAAAAGTGACACTTTATTTGACAAGCGAATTTTGCATTTGCGAGGTGGAGCGTCTGGTGAAAAATTTGCGAGTATTTACTAGGGTACAGAGAGGGTAAAAATATTTACTTAATGTGTTCTTTTTAAATATAATACCAGTATAAAATTTTCATACCGAAATCCCTCACGTGCATGAATTTATTGCGGGAAAGGACCCCGCACATTTAGTACGGACAATGGCTTTCTGCTAATTTTTCTGAACATTTGATATTATGTTTCAGATATTAGCGTCCTTATTACACAGTCCAATTTACAGATCGATCCTATGACCAGTTTTCAAGCTACAGGGTGTCAATCATTTGATTTTGGCTGTTTAGAATATTTTGCATCGATTTGAAATATTGTGCTCTAAGTCGTGATAATTCTTCAGTAGAAATAAACGCTCCACGTCTAATTTCTACCTCATGAATCCCTCTATTCGAATAGATAATAATATATATAAGGTAATATTTATGGGAATAGACAAATATTGAAAATATCAGAATTTCGATTTTTACTCAATCACTGAAAACTTGAAAACAAACGACTAAAATTGGCCAATTATGACACATTATTGATCTTGATCATCAACATGAGGATTTATATGATTTCCTCTAATACAATGTCCGGTTTGCCATATAAAGGCTGATGGCAATTTGAAAGCTTAGAATTGATGTAACTCATATATATACAGGGTGGCCCACGGTCGATGGTACCTTAGACGTATACGGAAAACGGTACATTGGATTATCCTGAAAATTTGGTTACTCTAATAAGCGTTTGTGATCTAACGATTCAAAATATTTTCAGCGAAGCAGCGTTGCCACTTTTACCAAAAATTGGCATCATCTTAGTTATTTCAAATGGAACACCCTGTATTTTATTGCGTTTTTGGTTTGCCATATAAAGGCTGATGGCAATTTGAAAGCTTAGAATTGATGTAACTCATATATATACAGGGTGGCCCACGTTCGATGGTACCTTAGACGTATACGGAAAACGGTACATTGGATTATCCTGAAAATTTGGTTACTCTAAAAAGCGTTTGTGATCTAACGATTCAAAATATTTTCAGCGAAGCAGCGTTGCCACTTTTACCAAAAATTGGCATCATCTTTGTTATTTCAAATGGAACACCCTGTATTTTATTGCGTTTTTAGATTTTTCCCGAAGAGCTGATTTCATCAATGCATCATACTTGGGGTCTAGCAGGAATTATTACAGAGATATAGGGTGTTCAAAATCGAGATTTTTCAACTTTAGGATTTTTTTGTGTCGAAACTATTCATCATTGGTCAAAACGGCTTTCATGTCCATGTCTTCACTTTTGATTTACTATCTACTGACATTTAATACTTGGAACAGATACAGGGTGATCAGAATTCTGAATCTTGAACCACCCTGTAAATGTTCCAATTACATGTCAGTAGACAGTAAATCAAAAGTTAAGATGGAAACATAGAAGCCGTTTCGACCAATAATGAATAGTTTCGAGACAAAAAAATCCTAAATTTGAAAATTCTCGATTTTGAACACTCTATATCTCTGTAATCATTCCCGCTAGACCCCAAGTATGATGCATCGATGAAATCAGCTCTTCAGGAAGAATCTAAAAATACATTGAAATATAGGGTGTTCCATTTGAAAAAATCAAGTAGTACTCTGCAGATCATTTGTTCCGAGCACCCTGTATTTTCTGATGCAACGGGGAAAAAATCTGAAAAATCATTTTAGATTATTTTTCAAATTTTTAAATCGGTTCAAAAATAAGTGAGCTAGAGGGGGGGGGGACATTTATGGTGAATCACCCTGTACATACGATAATGATGAATTTAAACTCAATGTATAATCACTGTGTAACACAGGCTGAAGGACCTCGGTCGGTAGCTTTTGGGTATCCAATAAAGCTCCTTAATTATTATTATTATTATTTATGAAATTTAAAGGTATTTGAGTGATGATTCTACTTCAGGAATGAAAAAATTAGTCCACTAGCCAACCACAAAGGCAATATGAATAGTATATTACATAATATGTGTTGTAAGAAGCATTTTATGCAGGAATAGAAAAATTGCATGCTTTAAAACAGTCATTACATACTATACTTTACCCTCGACTTCACCTACTGACATATAAACTGCTCCACATTTGAAGTGAGACAAGCGAACATTTTGTTTGTTTTCGAACCGTGATAACTTTGGATGAGATCAACCGATATTTGATTAGTTTTGAGATTGTGATTGCCCAGTTGATTGGCTATAACATATTTTTTTTACGTTTCTCCACCATTTCGGAATTATGACCTACAGGATGATATCTGAAAGTGTGATACTTTCCGAAAAGTTTGAGGTCGCCCCGTTAGCAGGATAATTTTTTTTAAATTTTTCTGGCGGCAAAAACATGAAGCCTAATGTGTTTCCTCAAAATGGTTTCGGATTCATCAAGATCCATACAGGATGTTTTGAGATATGCAATTTTGAACAACATAATGGCTATTCGAATTTTTTGAATACCTTAAATTCATTGGTTAACCCCTCGGTATAATATGTTGTCTGGGAAATAATCAGAAATTGTCAAACATTTGATTATTGTAATAAAATATGCCACGACTAACTAATGAACAATTACAAATGGTTCTCAGAATGAGAGATGGTGGTTTGAATGTTGAAGACATTGGACAGTATTTCGATACATCAAGAGCTTCAATATACAGGGCAATCCGTCGTCACGATCGAACAGGAGATCCTAATTATCGTCACGGAGGTGGACGACAACGGAAGACTTCAGATAGAGATGATAATTTCTTAGTTACTTCGGTACGTCGTCTTCGAACACAGACTGCTGGACAACTGAACTGTGCACTAAGAAATGCAACAGGAGTTGTTGTCTCAGATGAGACAATCAGAAGAAGGCTTCATGAGCGCAATCTTAGAGCGAGAAGGAGGGCATCTTGTACTTTGTTAAAGCTGAACCACAGGATAGCTCGAAGACTTTGGGCTCAGAACCATTTGAACTGGGGAATAGCTGATTGGAGGAGATGTTTATTCGTTGATGAGAGTAGGTGTAATATGTTCAGATCAGATGGAAGGATTTTAGTATGGCGAGAACGGGGTGAGAGGTTTCTGGAGGAAAACATGGAGGCGCGGGTGGCATTTGGGGGTGGGGGTGTTACGATATGGGGCGGTATCATGATGAATCATCGCACCACGTTGGTTATTTTGAGGGAAAGTATGAATGCTGTTCGATATCGTGACATGTGTATAAGAGATGTTGTTATACCAGTTGCTCAAAACTTTGGAGACAATTTCGTACTGGTCAATGATAATGCACGACCACATCGTGCGAGAATTGTAACCGAAGTTCTGAGACAACATAATATTGAAAGAATGGAATGGCCACCCGTATCTCCAGACATGAACCCAATAGAACATGTATGGGCTAGGTTAAAATTATGTTTGAAGAGAAGAGAAGGTGAAATGATGAATATTCAACAACTGGAAGATGCGATAGTGGAAGAATGGACAGCTATTCCCCAAGATTTCATTGATGGCTTGATAACAAGTATGCCGAGAAGAGTTAGGGCTCTCGCAGCGGCCAGGGGTGGTGTAACAAAATATTGATAATCGACCACATCTGCCGTTGTTAATTTTTCTTTATTAAAAAAATATCGAGATATCCCTCACGAATGTGTTACGTATTATCTGTATTCTCTTCGTGGTATATGTTCATCAATTCTCATTCTCTATATCCACTGAAAAAAAACATCCTAGCTTTGACAATTTTATTCATAAAATAACCACACTCCACATTCACCTGCGAACTAACCCTGAAGGTTTTTCGTTCAATCACGAAATCACTTTCATCCTGTATGGATCTTGATGAATCCGAAACCATTTCGAGGAAACACATTAGGGTTCATGTTTTTGCCGTCAGAAAAATTTTAAAAAAATTATCCTGCTAACGCGGCGACCTCAAACTTTTCGGAAATTATCACACTTTCAGATATCATCCTGTAGGTCATAATTCTGAAATGGTGGAAAAACGTAAAAAAAATATGTTATAGCCAATCAACTGGGCAATCACAATCTCAAAACTAATCAAAGATCGGTTGATCTCATCCAAAGTTATCACGGTTCGAAAACAAACAAAATGTTCGCTTGTCTCACTTCAAATGTGGAGCAGTTTAGTACATCAAAAAACTTTGGACAAACAGGCTGAATTATAATTCTTGACAGTTGTCATCCGCTGTTGACGGCGATTACGCGATCATGACATACCTATACTGGCAGAATAAACTTACTTACTGAGGCTGTATCTCCTGTGTTCTTGCCTACTTTCTATAGTGGTCGTAGGTAACATAGTATATTACATGACAAGAGTTGTAAAACGCATATTATGCACAAGTGCCTTATTGCTCTACAACTCAAGAATTGTACTATACTTTATCTACGTCTACACTATACTTCCTCCAGTACACATTTTGTGTTAAAACAAAAATATCAAATACGTCACTTCAAGCTAAATGCATGAAACTGTATATAATACAATTCTTTTATTTGTTTATTAGTAAATTGCATAAGGAGCCGTTTTCCTCAATTTGAACTGAAATAAAGCTGATTTTCATATCTCATCAACCTTATTAATAACAAAAACAGATTTGATGAACATATAAAATTAACATTTGTTGCAGAGTTGTAGAAAGTAACAGAATATTTTTGGAAAATGACATGATATTATTCTGGAGTTTCCAGTCCATGATTTTTTTGTAAGAGATTTCCTATCTTTCACAAGACTTCAAGAGTAGCAACTCACTTGGTCTCATTTTTGCTCTTCCCAGAAAATCAGCCAGATTCTGGTGGTGTTAAAATAATTTTATTGTCATTGCATGACATTTTTTAACTGGAATTGAGAAATATCAACAGAAAATAACCATTTTCAAAAAATATTACTTGCCTGCATTCAGTTTCAATTGAAAACTTATTGAAAATTTATTGATGAACAAAAGTCCAGAAGAAAGTACCAGGTAGCTACTGATATTAACTGAAATTGACACATATCTTAAGCAACAAAACAAAGTAACCTTTTCTCATTGATATGGGTAACAAATGAAAGGGGTTTGCTGAGAAAAATAATGACAGATAAAATGATGTCACTTCAAATTGAAAATTGCAGACCCATATATCATGAAATAAACAAACATTATCTAGCAAAAACTTGAAAATAAATTGATAGTGAAAATATTCTTAAAAACAAGCTTCTATATAAATGCTCTAGAATACACTTTCAATTAAATCAAATCCATCAATATCATACAATTTATATGTTATTATGAAAGTTTTCTGATAAGATTCACCTGTCTAAATAAAAAAAATATGATATGTAATGTGATATTGACACAAGTAATTATGCCAGTAGTTATGAGAAGAAAATTACTTAGTAATTTCATAAAATAAATTCACACAGGAAAAAGTAGCTACAAACTATATTTATGAGCATATTAATGAAAGCATGTTTTAAAAAATGTTTTTCTTCAATTTCTATTATTATTTCATACTCACTGGCCACAGCATTTCCCAATAAATGATATCACTATTTGAATTTGAGTCAGTATCAGTTTCTCCAACTTCCAAAACCACAGCAGTATTGTCCCATTTCCTTCTATAATCTATATCAATCTGTGTATTCAAGAAATCCTCAGCAGACACATCCGCATAGGATCCAAACACTTTATACTCTGACTGGCCAGAGCTGTGGGGCTTCCTCCAAACAATCAAATCAGTTTTCTCAATAAAAGGCACCCATTCATCATAAGTTTTGGTGGGAAGTTTACCAGTGGTCCCACACTCACAAATTCTAGTGTTATTACTGGTTCTCTGTGTAGGGTCACAGGATAAACATATAGTGTTGTCTTTGAGAGTCTTGATATACTCAAACTCCCCACTGTGCTTCTTGATGTCTTCATCTGGTATCCTGTTTTCTTCCCAGTTGTACAAAGACACACCTACAGTGCCCAAAGCAAACTCTTTACCTTTTTTTGCTAGACTCTGGCGCATTTTCCTCATGAAGTCCTTTAGAGCCTTCTCTTCCCACCACTTCGAGTAGAGGCAAAACATTTGATGGCATCTTCTCAGCCTCTGGGCGAGTACACATTCACAGTGGTGGGCCCATACTTTGAGGAGGTTGTTTGCTCCGTTCCTGGAGGTCTGAGGAGCTTGCAGGAATATTCTGTAGAAATTGCCGTTCTTGATTAAATCGCGGATTTTCTTGTTCACGTCTTTGAAATTCTTGCATTCTCCTAACTTTCTGCGAAGTAACATGTTGTATTTGATGAAATAGAATCGGGGCATGTTTTCTTTGAAGAAATTTCCGAGGTTAGGTTGAGATGATACAATCGATTGGGAAATTTTTTGCGGATACATTTTTTATTATATGTTTCGACTGCGTTTAGAACTGGCAAAAACTCCCAGATCACATATTTGTAATGAAAATGAATCAAAATGGATAGAAATTTGGACTAGTTGATTATGTACGGAAATTTTGAATTTGAGTAATTTGACAGAAGTGTTGACATTGTGACTTTGTGACATATTACCTTAGATCATTAAGCATATTACAGCAAACAGCAAGAATTCGTTTTGCCCAACCATTCGTCTACGATCAATCCTCAGCAGACCCTTCCTCAGACGAATAAAAAGAATTCGTCTGAGGATCAATCAGACCAGTGCCTGCGGACAGTTTCAGCATCGTCATCCAATATTTGGCTTCCAACATAATAACGATAACAGGCACAGCTCAAAATATCATGAGAAAGGAGACAACATTTTTTTGATAGTTGTTTATAGGGTCCCTTGATGGAAATTGACGTTGAAGTCATCTTAAGAGGGCATATTCCGTACCCTGTTAGATGACTTTAACGTCAGTTTCCATCAAGGGACCCTAGTTTTTATGTATCGATGGCGTATAACATGGGCCCATGCAATGACGGCTAAATGGACTGTCTGACGAGTTATAAAAAAGAAGTTTCTGAATGAAAGCATCATAGTTTTTAATGCTCTTCCAGAACCTGCAATAAAAAATAGGGGTTTCCATTAAAGATTTCAATGTTACCTCCATTTCCCACTCCCCTGGGGATCAGGGGGTGAAACTTGTTTTAAAACCAGACGTCCCCCTCCAAACCATACAACTTTTACTCGGCAATTTTTTTTGTCAGATGCATACATTTCGAGAAATTTCCAAATAAAGATTAAAATGGGACACCCGGTATATATAAATGAAATGTATTCACGACTTCACGCCAGGATAGCACTAATATAATTCAACGGACGCTTTTTATTTGTATGCAAACTCTATGTGAAATATATTTTAGATTTTAGCTTTCCATGGATATTCCAAAAATTGAAATTGAAAAATTTCAATATAACATAATTATGTTTTAAGCTCATTAGTAGTATCTTATTGTTTTATTTTCTCAACTTACTCCTATCACATATATTATTTTAGCTCATCTAATAGATCACTGCATATAGCATCATTGTCAGAAATTAACAATATAAACACTCTCGTGACCGAAGTATATTATTAGGTAAGTAGCAATTTTATTGGTCGGTATTTGATCGAAAGACCCTAGGTACTTTACCTATAGGTCTATTTTGGGTTCATTCAGAAAAACCACCATTACTATCATTAAATATGATGAATAGAAATTCAATTATGTGATTGTAAAATGATAATATGTATTATGTAGAAATAGATTTGAGTTTGAATAGATTTGTTTCTATTGAAAAGGAATATTCTCAGATATAATTATGAACACAAAAAATTGATACACAATAAGGTATTTTTGGAATAAACTGCACATATTCAGCACACTAATATACAGTCTAAAGAAAATAATATTCCCATGACATCAGATTTTTTCTAATTCTTCTGATTAACGAGAACAAAATACGAGAAAAAATCAAGTACGCGTGACGTCAGATTTGCTACATTGTAGAACTTGGTGGGAAAAAGGAAAAAAAAAGGGTCTAACCTTGAATTTTATTTCCAAATATTTTTTATATCAAATATTTTCAAATATTTGATGTACAGCCATTTTTTATTATGGATGAAGCTGCATATAATGTGTATATTTTTAGCTATTATCTGAGGATATCACCTATGGGATATTTTTGTTCTGATTTTTCTTTATATTCAATGAAGCTAGTCATTTTTGACACTGTTTATGTTTTGTATCTTTTTGGCTATGTACTTGATGTGACATTTTTTATTTTTTACTTTTCTTACACTTTTTCATATATGATGAAGTCATGAAATAAAAATTATCGTTCTTCAATTTTCTCATCGATTTTTTCAATATTTCATGTCTGGTACATTCCACTCGATTTTAGTACAATTCAATAGTGATTTCAGTACAATTAGCTTTATTTCTTCTGGCAACACTGGAATAAGGGAATGTCATTATTGTCAAAGAATAGTAGGTTAGTGACAAGTTTCTTGTTATTAGCAACCCTAATTAATTATCTCTGATAAGTTCATAATAATAAATGATCTAAATAATATTCACCACTGGTAGTGTGTGTGGTAGTTGTGTTAAAGAGTTATAGAGTCTTGGTTTGTGAGAAAAGAAGGTAATTAAATCAGGAAGTATTTCAAATCATCAGTTGAGTCAAGATTTTGATATTTTGCAAACTTCAATTGTGTTGTGATAGGGGAAATAACAATGCCTTATAAGTGTTGTGTTCCCTTTTGTCGAGGGAATTATGTGGGTGGTCCAAAAGTTCATGCTTTTGCTTTCCCGTTTGATAAGGAACTATCGAAAAAGTGGTTATCTGCAATTCGCCGAGAGGCTTTTACTCCATCTAAGTACAGTAGAGTATGTGAATTACATTTTGCTAAAGATGCTATTATTACTTCATCTACTGTAACCGATTCGAAAACTGGCAAAACTCTAACAATAGATTTGAAAATTCCCAAGCTCAAACGAGATGTTATTCCCACTCGATTTCCTAACTGTCCATCTAATTTATCAAAAGATGTAAAATTACGCACAACTCCTGATGAAAAACCTGAGATACTAGAGACTGAAAATTTGGCAAAAGCACTTATCAAAAGTGAACCTGAATTCGAAAGTTACCAAGAATCATTTTGCTACACAGAGTTTCAAGAATTTCTAGTTGTATTAGAGTCTTTTCAATTGCCTGAAAAGTGGTTCAAAATCATTGATTTGCAAAAAGTCACATTGTTCAAATTGTCTTATTCTCCAGGGCCCGTAATTACATATTCGGTTGTGATTGATTCTGTTTTGAATGTGGAATCATTTTTGTATGGCCTAGAGATACAAACATCCCTAAAAGACAATATGAAAACACCTTTTATCTCTAATAATATCAATCAAATCAAGGAATTACTAATTGAAACAGATAAAAACGAGATAAATAATTCGGGAAAATGTCATGATAATCAGAAAAAGAAGGTTTTGAAACATATTTCAAATGTATTGGACTCTTTGGTTTCCGACTCGGTTTCAGATTTTGATGAAGATTCTGAAAAAACTTCAGCTTTATTGTTCCTCTCTGAGCAAATTAAATTCCATACATCCTGCAAAGAAAGATATCCTTATTCCAATAATACCATAATTTTAGCCTCCATAATTCATACAATAAGTCCACATGCTTATAAATTCTTGAGACATTTTGGAGTACTCATATTACCTCATTCAGGTACAGTCAAATCGATATGTAGTTCATTGTTAACAGATCCTACATTAGAAGAAAGGCAACTGTCGTTATCTCATGCAGAAAATGTATTTAAGTTATTAGGTGAGCGTGAACAATATTTCATTTTAGTGATGGATGAAGTTCATATAAAGCCATATTTAGATTACAAGGCAGGCCATATTGTAGGAACGGCATTTAATAATGCATGTTTAGCAAATTCCGCGTTTGTCTTCATGATAGCAAGCGTTACGTCAGATGTAAAAGAAGTTGTTCATATAAATCCAACATCAGAAATAGATCACCTCATGATTTTTTCTTTAATAAAGAGAGTTATAAATAAATTAGAGGAAATTGGTTACAGAATATTCTGTATTATCAGTGACAATGAAGCTGTCAGCAGTAAAGCTATGAGTAATTTTGCAGAAAATTCAAAACTCAGTATTGTTTATCCTCATCCTGCAGATAAATCACGTCCTCTTTTTTATCTTTTCGATTCTGTACATTTGTTGAAATGCATAAGGAATGATTGGCTCAATTCAAAACCAGATCAGATATTGAATTATCCCGATTTTGAAACAGGGGTTGAAAGAGTTGCTTCTTTTCATAGTTTGAAAACCCTTCACGAATTAGAACATGATAAATTATTAAAATTTGGATATTCGTTGAACCTGAAGGCGCTATTTCCCTCGAACATGGAACAACAAAACGTCGGTTCGGCTCTCAAAATTTTCAATGATTTCATAGTACAGGCTCTTTTGGAATTTGGATCAAACATTGAGAACTCTGAAAGCACTGCTGGATTTATCAACCTGATACTCAAGTGGTGGAAAATTGTGAACGTCAAAACACCCCTCAAGGGCAAACGTTTGAATGATGTGTTTCAAGAACCTATAGCAGCTATTAATTTTTGTTCTGATGAAAAATTCATTTTCTTGCATAACATGATAGATTGGTTAGAAACTTGGAAATCTGCAAATTCTACTAATAAACTAACAAACCAAACACATACTGCTTTGAGTCACACTATATATGGAATGACAGAAGTTATACAATATTGTTTCAAAGAACTCAAGATGAATTATCTTTTACTAGGAAAATTTCAAACAGATGATTTGGAACATAGGTTCGGGAAATATCGTCAACTTCTAGGTGGACAATATCCAAGACAATATCACATGTCTATTCGACAATTGTATGAATCGGAAAAAAGGCTCAGAATTCAATCACTGCTCACGCTGAAATCTCGTACTTACGGTGAAATACAAATCAGGCGCTTCCACGAAAATATTGATTTCACCGAAGAAATCGAAGAAAATCATTCTTTCAATCCAGATATCATAGTGGAGGATTCTGATATAGATGAATATAGTGATGACATGCCGGTAATAACCTATTTAGCAGGTTATTGTGGCTATATTACCCTTAGAAAAATTCAGTGCGAATTTTGTAAACAGAACTTAATTTATAATGATGAATTAATAATAGAAGACAATTACAATCTCATAAAAAGTATGAGTAGAGAAAAATTACTCTATCCGCAAGCTTTGATTGTGCAGTTAGTTTTGTATTCGTTTATTATATTCAACAAAATAATCTCTGAATTCGAGGAAATATTCTTGAATGTTCATAACAAACGGGCATTTTTAACTCAATACATTCTCAAATTCCTTTCTGAAAACGGTCATTTGCCTCGTGGCAATGAATGCAGAATTCATTCCAATGATCAAATTGCAACTATCATATTAAGATGTACTACAAACACCATACTTAAAAATTACTGTTTCAAGTCTAACGATCAATTGGGTATAAAATCCAAGAACAGGAAATTGAAAA